CGGACCAAGATAAAGGTTCCTCATCAGATGAAGCTTCCTTCTCATTCAAGATGATTTTTATTATCATTTTCCTCTACACAAGAAATGCAGGTAAATAACTAACCATACTCTTAAGATATATAAAAGCTTTATCATATGTTTAATTGATGCGGTCTAATAAAATATACTTTAAAACTTCCTAAGTGCCGTTAATGACCGGGTATTTACACGTGTGCGCCATTTAAATATTTCCCCCATGGGGTGCGAAATATACTGCGATTAGCTAGGAATTTTCGGAACACAGTGAGAGAGAACGGCGGAAACTTTTCACATATAAAGTACTTTCGTGAGTGCTAGCCGCAAACATAAAACCTTCCGTAACAACACCCCACTGGCGGTGATTTCTCAGTTACAAACGGCTCCCCAGAAATCATTAGACAGTCGGAAGGGGGAGCGCGATAAGTGAACGAAATGAACGCAACTATGGCTTAATAATAATATTATGTATACTCGACGCATGCACTAAACTGTTGTATTATTTTCGCAAGTCGCAATAAACGGTGCTATAAACAAAGAAGTTCTGCCGTTTGCGTCGCATTTCGGAATTAATTTTGAATTCCATTAACGTAATCTTTTTAAACAACGGCAACTTTCCATTAAGATAACGTGCCCCCGTGTCACGTTAAATTCTAACGAAGAGACCCAAAGTACTTACAAATTTCTTTCTTTAATAAGGAAAGGAAGTAACAGTTAAAGACTTATAAAAAATTCATGTCCCTTATTATTTATGTGCAGTGGAATGTAAAATGAGAAAAAGTAAATAGTTAATAAAAAATAAGACTGCAATTTTTTTATAATACATTTGTAGAGTTATTGTAAATACTATTATACGCTTTAGTTCGATCATCATCATCCGATAATCATCGAATTTTCCTGATTAAATCTTCATTTCTCTGGAACACTCGAACTTATTTTGTTACGCGGGCAATGCATGTGTCAATCATGAATGACATCTGTAGTAAAATGTTGTCGATTGATTCTACATAACCCACGCCGCTTACACAGCGAGCCGTCGGTAATCGATATATTGATTTAATCACATACATGCTTGCACATATGTATAGGTAAGTATTGATGATTTCACACATTCTTTATGTCTGCTAATTATATTTATAATCCTATTTCGCAAAATTCGACCTTTTGCTAATGTATTTCTCAATATTTCAGGCGACTGAACGCTGGATTTGCTTGAACGCGTTGTTAACGTACGTTGTTCCTAACTAAAATTCAGTTTCGTTGTTCTCCGCGGTAAGCAGATAGCTGTAAAGTTCATACAGTTATCCGGCCGAACATGGAGCGTCTGGTTTTTAGAAAATCCGCCGTGGAATTCAAACTACTCGGCGGAAAACATCAGCCACCACCCGACACGAAGCAAAATTCATCAGTTAATCCTGAGACGAAACTTCTCTCACCGTCCTTCTCTATCCTCTTCCCAGTCTTTCTCTCTCCCTGCTGCTGTAGCGGATTCAGTCTATCCCGGAAAAGCGCAATTATTCCAAAGAGTTCGCCAGATTCGCTCCTTTAATTCCAGCGGCAGTATTTGTTATTTCCAGACAATAACCCCCGAATTTAATTAGAGTCAGTGTATCCGAAAACTTAAGACGACAACACCAAGTGCACATCCGCGACAACGGCGACGTATCTACATCACTTACCATTCCACACCCCTCGCTCTCCACATCGCCACTACCATGTGACGGCGATGATAAATTTACAAGGCTCGATGCACTGTAATTCGTAACATAAGATCATAAATTGCCGGCTTCCCTTCGTGGAAAATGCCACTAATTCTCCCTAGTAGAAAATAAATTTTGATAATTCGTACGAAGACGCGCCATAACCACCACTATCGCGAACGTTTTAGCTACAGTTTTCACACCGACACATTCTTCTCATTATTCTATTTTAATCAATTAGAACCTCCCAGGATTCCTTTTCTTAAAAGATTTATTGCTACTTCTCTCAGTAGACCGAGCGGCATGACTTAGAGATTTAGACCATTGCTTCCGGGTCCGTCTGCCTTGGTCCAAGTTTTTCTGTGGTTTCCTTGGATCACTTAGGTAAACGCTGGGGCAGTAATATTCCGCAGATAATCTTTTATTCTCTTCTGTCTTCATTTCGTCCATCTGATCCTTTTCACCACAATCACCACCGACTCATTGCCATGATTCCTGTCAGGAGGCTGAACAAGTTCTTCTGCCCTACCTTCCGGCGTAGTCCGGAGAGACTGTCCATTACTGGCAGGTGGGGATGATTTTTTTGGAATGGTTTGTTTTTCTTTCACTAGAACAATTATTCATGCTGAGAATATCGTAAATCATCAAGATTCAATACTGTACTTACTTAACCATTTCATATTGAAAGATTTGAAGTTAGGGTGGTCGCTTTTTACCTAGTTCATCTATTTTTATAAGGACCCTGTGCAGCAATTTTGACGTGTTCCGGGACTACGAGAGCTTTTAAATTCTGGAATATTTTTAATCATAAATGAAATTTAGCTTTATACGAGAATAGTCCCAAAGTTAAGGTCTCCAAAAGGCTGGTACCTCCAGCAAACATTTCGCGTGATTTGTTGAGGTATTCAATGAGGTATTCGCGAAAGTTGATCATCACACAACCACTCTATATTTCGCAACTTGGCGTCCAATTATCACCACGTGTTTCAGATGTTTGATGCACATTTGGTTGAAATACACACCAGCGACGATGACTAAGTAAAAGGAGCGATCCAACACTTCTTCAACAAGATGGCGCCATGCTGGTATGACATATCTACATAGAAACTGTCACAAGGGCTACAAAATTGTATTCATTGTCGATGCAATCGATTATTTAGAATGTAGAGAAATATTTAGATAAACTTTACGTATTATCACTTTATTTGTGGAGTTATCCAGGTAGTATTTTGGATTGAAACTGCATAACGAGTATGAAGTTGCCCTCAGGACTCGTGGAACCTGAAGAAATGTCTGAATGACTAGTATTTTTTTGCACACAACCTAGAATTCCATCCGATTCAATGCGCTGAAGTATATTACAAACGAAATATCGTAAGATTGTTGATTATAAAGTTCTTGCCGATAATCTGACGAATTACTGAATAATTTCTTCAGTATTAGATGAAATGGGATAAATGCGAAAGGAAGGGGGAAAGAGGACCGCAAATAAAGAAAAACATTTTATTTTCGTTCACGGCTTCTTTCTCGTTTTCTGGTCCATCTGAAAGTAAATTGTGGGGTAAACACGTCGAATTCCTGTTATCCATTGACCAAAATTGTCGCAACGGCACGTTACCTGAATAAAATGGCAAATTCGAATTCGAGACACAAAAACACCTCAATGCATAACAAGTAACAAATTCAGCTGCCGAATCAAATTTAAGCCGGAACTGTTGTCGTTCTTTTATTTTTTCTTTTTTTTTTGTGTTGCCTGTTTTTTTTCCGTTACCTTCTTTTCATCTAAAAGCTGTCACGCATTTGTCTTCGAAAAAGATAACGGCGTGAAAGATTGGAAATGAAAGGCCTTCGAAAACGGCCCAATCCGTTTCCTTTCACAATTTTATTCATAAGCTACTTAGCGCTTTTATCTTCCACGCGACTGGAATATTACGGCTCTTTTCCGATTCGTATCGTAATCTTCTAATCGTAACACGTCACAGAAAACATGAAACACAACCCCCGTACAATGCCACGCTAATTATACTTCTTATTTCACCCTCTATTTTTGAAATTACTCTTATTTACACGCGTCAAGAGCAATATTTTAGCATGCAACGGATGTTCTGTCGCAGCATGCGACGAAAATTGCGCGCGCAGCTGTCAGTAGTAACTGTCAACTGTCAAAAACTTTGTGTGCTTGGTCGTCCGTTGTGCAGTAAAGTAGTGCGCATCCGATTTGGGCGTAGCTAAGGTGATTTTGTTTACGTATTGTACTTACAACAATAGCGAAACCAATGCGCAGTAGATCATCGCGCAGTAGACGACTGCGTTTTCTATCTTTTGTTAATGATGATATTTTTNAAAAAAAAACAACCATTTTGAGGGATGCTTAATGGTGAATAATGCCCAATATGTAGTTTCAAGTAGTTTACCTGTACTATGAACCAATAAGCGTATACGATGACTCCCAGAGGTAAAAAATAGCAGAAGAAGGTGTATGCCCAGATGTAGGTGAGTGTAGGCATGTCGTCCCTCATGTAATCAGTCCCACAAGCAGTCAAATTTCCCTCGGGAACATACCTTAAAATTTAAAGTTGGAAACAATTCATGTCGAAGCCAAATTTAATCATAAAAAAATCGAATGGATTGTGTTTAGTCAACCAGAATGAGTTTTCAAATTGGAATTGGAAACTTTGGAAGAAAACTCCATTCGAATAATTGACTGTTTTAGTTTGAGAGAAGTAAATTAATACCTTGTGGTAATTTTGTAAATAAAGCCTATATTTTTCTGTTTCTGAAATTTTTAATATGTTTATGACTTTAAGAGTGTAACAAGTTGAAATTAATTAATTCCTTTTTTATTATTAATAAAGAACGAAAAATTATCCACTCAATTTTATCAGACAGAATCTCGTTTCATGGATACTCATTATTGTAGTTAGTAATATCTTGATTAACATGTTGTATTATTTGACTAAAATTTGATATTAAGTATTCTACTGCTAATAACATTCAAGGGTAAAACGCACCCCTCCGGATGAAGTGCCTTCTTCAATTTATAATCACTTAGTAACGGTGAAAAGTGGCCTTTAATATTTAGACCGTTTAACCTTTAACGTAATATTCCAAGGGAGACGGGAAATATAAAGACGGCTTTTCGAAGCCTTAAGTGCGAACGAAATTTTTTATACCATAAAAACATTATGAAGGTCGAAATTATCTATACAAATGAAAGTGAGGGTTGTCGATATGACCCACAGTATCAATAAATTAGGATTTAGGTGACGAAATGAAAGTAATTGATTTGCTTGCAAAGGTTTACTATTTATTGTAATTAATCGGTTTAAAATATTATTTACAGAAACAGAGTAGTCCATTTTCGTGCCTTATTTCGTTGTAATTCAAATACGGTGTGTTTACGCAGTAGTAGACTTCTCGTTTTCGACGTTCGTTACACCGGATGCGACTGATGCTGTTTCGTCTTCACCGGATGCGCATTTTAAGGATGGGAACTTTTTGTACAAAGCTTGCTTGTATTTTGGATGGCTGCAAAAAAACAAGAAACGACCTTAAGCATCAAGGACTAAAGCCTTAACTCTAAACAGAAAATGAGTACGATGCATAATTAATATGAGAACTGGAATCAAAAATAGTATCGCAAGAATGTGGATGTTTTCTCTTACAATGCTATTTTATTACAAGGCAGTAAACGGGTGGGTTCGGAAATATAACCGAGCATACTGGTCAGTGCTGATGACGTCATGAATCGACGCCATATTGTACTTGTGAGAGAAGTGTGACGTTCATCAAACTGGCGTGTGTTCATCAGACTTCGAAGAACTTTTTATTGTAAGAAACTTTAATAACTTTTGGAGCAAAATTGTTGTAAACAAGCGCAAACACTGTTCTCAATATGGCGTCAATTTAATGTCAACGTACTGGTCAGTATATTTAGGAACGAATCAACAGTATGGCGTCATGACGCCATCAGCAGTGGACAGTATGCTGGGTTATACTTCGGAAGATTAAAATAATTCGAAGTGGTCTGTATTCTGTCGAAACTGCCAGACGCGGATCGCGATTTCGATCTTTTTGGATCTCATCAGCGCGTCGCAGGCAGCGCGTTTTAGAAAATACGACAAATGGCGCTGTAAATACCATCTGTAGTACAGTGCTACATTTTAGGATTACGTATGCTTCAGCAAGAGCTGTCGGAGCTGCCTGCGATGCGCTGTTGAGATCCAAAAAGATCGAAATCGCGATTCACGTCTGGCAGTTTCGACAGAATACAGACCACTTGGAATTATTTTATTCGATTATGGTAACGTGCCTACCACGTTGAGGTTAGCCACGCCGGGATTCGTTTCAGCAAGTAGATATCCATATATTTAAATGGACCTTGCTGAAGCATACGTAATCCTAAAATGTATCACTGTACTACAGATGGCGTTTACAGCACCATTTGTCGTATTTTCTATTTCGGAAGATACTCAATGTGTAAAATGCATCTACATTTTTCAAATGTAATTCTTCTTATTTATATTGGGATTGAAATTAGCTGGTATAGGTCATGGTAGTATCCAAAGCTTATGAATAATGTCAATGTGTTTACTGGTATATCTATTAGGGTTAGTTGATGTCATACCTTATTGCGTAAACGATTGGGTTGTATACAGCGTTTGCCTTGGCGAATAAAGAACTCCAAATAGTTCCCAAGGGATTAAGGTTGGCGAGTTTATGCATCCCGACTACGTTCACGACCAAATAGGGTGTCCAGGCCATGAACCACAAAGATATCGTGACCAGTGCGACCTTTGCCAACTTGCATTCAACGCTGGTGTTAGCCTGGTCACCAGAACGCAGTGTTGCAACGTTCATCTTCTTCGCTTGTTCCCTCATTGATTTTTCGTGAGCGGCAACAGCCTGATTAACGAAAAAAAAAAAAAACAACCATTTTGAGGGATGCTTAATGGTGAATAATGCCCAATATGTAGTTTCAAGTAGTTTACCTGTACTATGAACCAATAAGCGTATACGATGACTCCCAGAGGTAAAAAATAGCAGAAGAAGGTGTATGCCCAGATGTAGGTGAGTGTAGGCATGTCGTCCCTCATGTAATCAGTCCCACAAGCAGTCAAATTTCCCTCGGGAACATACCTTAAAATTTAAAGTTGGAAACAATTCATGTCGAAGCCAAATTTAATCATAAAAAAATCGAATGGATTGTGTTTAGTCAACCAGAATGAGTTTTCAAATTGGAATTGGAAACTTTGGAAGAAAACTCCATTCGAATAATTGACTGTTTTAGTTTGAGAGAAGTAAATTAATACCTTGTGGTAATTTTGTAAATAAAGCCTATATTTTTCTGTTTCTGAAATATATATTTACCATATTGTATACATTGTGTTTTGTGTATTGCCACACGAAATAACAAAATTAGGTCGGCATAATCATTCAACAAAACTACAAAGTTTGTCAATTTGCTCCAGTGAAAATACAAACTAGAGCTAGCTCTCAATCGAATTTGCGATCATCGGTTTTAATAAATAAACTAATTATTGGAATAGAATGACATTTCTATTTAATTTACTAGCATTTTTTCCGCGTTGAATTGACTATTAAACAAATTATTATTAAAAACGTTCATTTCGTCGAATTATTAATTAAAATAGCAATTAACGTTTTGTATTGCAAAACTATTTTTTGATCAGGTGTATTTGTTGGTTTTATAAACATTTCCAGAAATATCGATCGTGAAATTCTGGACGTGTGTAATAGAAAATTGAGTTTGGTACCTGCTCCATCCCAAAACGGGTGCAACGGTCCACCCTAGTGACGTGCTCCATACCATGAACAACCAGAATGCAGCCCCCTTGAAGGTTAAGGGTTTCGCGCTTAGACCCTTTACGATAACATTGTACCTATCCCATGCTATCACTGACATGGTCCAGATTGAAACACAGCCAAATAGAGACCCGCACATTCCATAAATATTACAGAAAAACGGCCCTAAACGAAAGCGCCAATCATACTTTCGTATGCACTTAGTTTTTATCACAAAATTCTACATACCAAACATCCACGTCTGATTATAACAGTTGTATACCATTGGCGGAGCCATGGTGAACATCATGGAAAAATCGGAAAATGCTAAGTTGATGACCAGGAGATTGGACGGTGTCCTTAAGTGTTTGGTGGTGCTGAATATGTAGATGACCATTCCGTTTCCGAATATGGCTATGCATGCCAAGCATGCGATGGTAAAACCTTGGATTCCGTGCCATAACGGGTCCAGGGGCGGGAACTGGTACCAATGGGTGTCTATGAGATGAAGCATCTCTGGGAATGCCTTGTCCGCTACAGAAATGTTGCCGCCAAAGCCACCTGTCGCAATACGACGCGCAGCCCAGGGGGCTAAGCTCGGTCCGGCCAAATCCATAATTGTCTAAATTAAATAAAAAAATAAGGAGCTGGAATTTTAAGGTTGCATTTTTGCTAACATAACTATTCTACTATAAGAAGCAATAAATAATTAAATTATTGGTAAAGGTCTAGATGACGGATCGAAAGAGGAGGTTTCCTGCACCACTGTACCATAAAAAGTTCGTGGCGATCTCACCCCCATAAAAAGTTATGGGGGTTCAAAGTTAATAAATATGCCAATTTTTATACATTTCTAGGCATGTAAATATTTATATAGTCATTCTTAAACAATATTCAAAGGTAAAACTAATGAAAAATACATAAAAATATTGAGAAAGTTATATAAAACATTATTTAAATATCTTTATCAATAGGGTAGGTTAGGTTAGGTTATCGGGTTTTGTTCAAGTGACCACCCTCTTTCGATCCCCCACCTCCACCCGCTTGAAAATAATTTTTTTATTGAATTTTATTTGAATTATAGTGTATGAAAATTGTCAAAATAATCAACTTTCAACCCCCATAACTTTTTATGGGGGTGAGACCGCCACAAATTTTTATGGGGTTTTACTCAGGTGACCACCCTCTTTCGATCCCCCCTACCACCACCCCCTTCGGGGGTGGGTACCATCATCTAGACATTTACCTAATTTTCTATATATATTTTTATTTAAACAAAGTAGTAAAATTGTAAATTATATAAAAATAATTCTCTGCTTACCTGTATCAATGGGGTTACAAGCAAGTGAGTTCTTCAATCCAGGTGACACCAATAGAGTGTATGACTTCTATGGTCTTCAACTCGCAACTGCCTCGTCTGTCCATTCTTTTATATAAAGGGTTTGAGGGACTTAATTCGCTTTCTTAATTTAATAAGATCTAATCTCATTGCCGGAAGACGTTACGGCTTATCGTTTAATATCAAAAGGAATATGGTTTCTTCGGAAATTATAAAACTTGCTTACGTTATACGATAATCAAAACAAGGACAGAAGTTTATATTTTAATTCATTCGATAAAGAAAATCTAGTGTTATTTTTAGATTCACATATATTCCACTAATTTGTGGTGAAAAGTCTATCGAAATTGTCATTCCTATTTGGGATTATAAAATAGAGAAGGGTTAGATGCTAATCCTGTGGGCAGTACGGGAGAAATTTGATTTTGTTATTCTTGCGATACAATTGTATTCTAATCTATTCAAAACAGTTTTAAGATCTTTAAATCTTTTCAAAATACAGAAAAATAGTTTCATAAAGGAAAGAGGGTTGGAATTAAATACAGACAAATCAAAAATTTTAAGAGGGAAGAAGGCAGGAGGAAGAAAGAAAAAGGTCGACTTCCAATGGAACGGAAAAACAATCGAAGAGGTTACAGAATTTAATTACTTAGGCTTCATATTGCAGAGGAATAATGGAGTAGACAAGCACATTAAAAATCTGAAAAAGAAGGTATTAAGTGTAATGGGAAAAGTATGGGGAATAGGAGAAAGAAACTTAAGAGATTGCTGGAAAAAGAGAATGTTTCTTTTCGAGACACTAGTAGAAAGTATAATAATGTATGGGGCAGAAATCTGGGGATGGGAAGAGAGAAAAGAAATCGAAAGTATTCAGGACAGATATATTAAATGGACACTAAAGCTGGATAAGAGTACTCCGAGAAACCTTCTTCAGGAAGAAACTAAATATAAAAAACTGACCATAAAATATTCAAAAAGGGCCTTAAAGTACGAAGAAATTAAATATTAAATTCCCAAGGCGACGCAATACTAAAAGAATGTGTAAAAGTTAAGGACAAAATTGCGCTCTTGCAAAAGGATAAAAAGAAAACCACAAAGGAAAGATGGAAAAAAGAAAGAAATAATTTTTTAATGGAGAGAGGATGGTCAATCAAACATTATATATGGAAGCTGGAAAATGAGAGAAATGTATGGAAGGAACTAGAAAACTTAACTAAAGATATGGACAAACAAAGAAGGAGAGAGAAAATGAGAAACATGAGTACAAGATATTATGGAAAGAAGGAGAAGAAAAACCTCATTATTTGAAAGATGAAGGAGTAAAGAGAAAAAACCACCTACAATTAACTGCAAGATTCAGATTGGGAAGCGAAAATAGAGCGTCAAGGTATTGGGAGGAAGAAGAAAAGAAATTATGCAGATTATGTAAAAAGGAACCAGAGACGCTTGAACATATTTTTGAGCGATGTGGGGAAACGGGAAGTTCTGCAAAAAGCTGGAAAACTCAACTGGAAGGAGTGAACAACAGGAAAAGGATGAGAGAAATCTCGTGGAAGAGAAAAATAGCAGAAGAAAATTAATAAAAATGGAAAGAAAGGATGGTCTAAATAAGATGAGAAAAATATGAATAACTAGGTAAGTAGCAGAAAAACGAGAAAGTAGAAAAGAGAAAATAAGTAAATGTAAATGTAACTGCACCTTGTATATATAAAACATAATGTTTTTAATAAAGCTATCTATCTATCTATCTAGTTTCTATTCGATGTGTAAAACTGTAAAGTCATTACTAAAACTTATGTCCTTTGTGCTCTTTAATTCCACATCTAAAGCATCTTTCATTTTGTCCGAAATATCTTGAAGGGGATCTCCTTCCCCTTTCCCATAAACTCCATGCTCGCATTTGTTTTAAATGCTGTGCAAGAGTTTTAAAAACTGTTCTCGTTTTTCGAGCCTTTTTGTTCATATTACCATTGTGGACCATTGGACGTATGTAAATGTTCACCATTGGGAATATTCGTCAGGTTTTCCTAGACGCTGCTACGTTTGGTAATGTCGAGTTCCGAAATACAATCATTCAATGCAACCAACGTTGCAATGACAAGCGGAAAACGAAATCTAGAGCCATTGTCAGCGGTGAAATAACACGAGAAGAGGGAGAAGGAAATAGATAGACGGATAGAGAAAGAGAAGAATGGTCGATGAAATTGTCGTGATTGATTCGGGAAACTGAAAACGAAGTAGATTGTTCGAAGGCCGCTTTCTATTTGCTTTTGCTCGTTTTTGTCTGGCGGACGAGAGACCGACCAACTGGCTCGAGTAGAGTCGAAATGTTCTTCCTGTTCTATCGAGGTGCACATTTTCCGAAATATAATGGCCTCTATTCTAACAGTCACTCAACAAATTTCATTCTCAACGATCGAAAAATGAACTTCTGAATGCATTGTCGTAGATGCACAAACACATACATAAGGATAAAAGTTTGTTTTAAAAGCCCAGAAGGAGAATAAAATTCAATAGATTTAAATGTAGAGAATATACAGGAAATATAAACGAGCTTTCTTATTTTTGATTTCCTACCACTACTATCGAATTTGTAGGTAACTAGACAATTAAAAATTGAACCGTTTCTTTTTAATGTTTTATCAGTCTCAGCGGTTGCCGCTGTTAGGGAATTGGGGCGAGTACGCACCTGGGCCTGTAGACATCCCGATGTGAGAAAGTTTGAAATAAAAGAAGCGAGAACGCCGTGTACACTTTCGCTAGAACCCCCATTTACTCTATCGCTTTGTTTGAGTCGATGAGCGCAACGGGGAGGAGGCGAGACGTTCTTGACCGAGGCGAGAGGACCCTGGACGAGGCGAGAAACTTTTGAATGAGGCGAGATGTTCCTGGACGATGTGAGAGACCTTTGAATGAGGCGAGATGTCCCTGGACGATGTGAGAGACCTTTAGTCGAGGAGATAGGACCTTGAACGAGGCGAGAAGCCCTTGGAAAAGGCGAGAGGCTTTTATACGAGGCGAGAAGCGCTTGGGCGAAGCGAGGAACCAATGGGCGATACGAGAAGTCATTGGGTGGCAAAAAAAAAATTTTTGAATAAGTCGAGATGCCCCCCCGATGATGCAAGGGACCCTCAATCGAGGCGAGAGGCCCTTGGGTGAGATGAGAAGCTCTTGGAAGAGGCGAGAGACCTTTGGACGAAGCAATACGTCCTTGGACGGGGCGATAAAACGGGGCGATAAACATTTGAACTAGTCGAGATGCCTTCGGACGATACGAGAGACCCTTAATCGGGGCGAGAGGCCCTTGGATGAGGCGAGAAGCTCTTGGAAGAGGCGAGAAGCTCTTGGAAGAGGCGATAAGCCTTTGGACGAAGCAATACGTCCTTGGACGAGGCGATAAATATTTGAACAAGTCGAGATGCCCCCGGACGATGCGAGAGACCCTTAATCGGGGCGAGAGGCCCTTGGATGAGGCGAGAAGCTCTTGGAAGAGGCGAGAAGCTCTTGGAAGAGGCGATAGGCCTTTGGACGAAGCAATACGTCCTTAGACGAGGCGATAAACATTTCAACGAGTCGAGATGCCCCCGGAAGATGCGAGAGACCCCTAATCGGGGCGAGAGGCCCTTGGATGAGGCGAGAAGCTCTTGGAAGAGGTGAGAAGTTCTTAGAAGAGGCAAGAAGCTCTTGGAAGAGTCGAGAAGCTCTTGGAAGAGGCGAGAGGCCTTTGGACGAGGCGAGATGTGTGTCAATTGAGTTTCTTCAATTTGTAATGAAAACGTAAGTGAAGTAAAAATTGTAAGTATCACGACACGTTGTTTGTTATTTAATTATTTTTTTGGCAGATAAAGTATGAACGAAATGACTAATTTACTTCAAAACTCTATCGGCACTAAAGGAAGGTGCATTGTTTACAACAATGTTTTCTAGTTCGTCTAGCGTTAGGTCGCTTCGTCCTATAGCAATAATAACTAAGATTTGTTAATAGAAATTTATCATGCAGAATGACGAGGTAGGTAGGCCACTGAGTCCATTAAGGAACGACAAAAAAGATACAAGGAACGCGCTTATGAAACTACAGAGTTTATCTTTACACTTAGAGTAGATGGAATTTCCCAACAAGGGAGGCGGAAGTAAGAAGCGTAAAAGAGAATGGCCTCTTTAAGAAATGGCAAAGTATTAAAAGCGTCTGGGGAAGTTGCCGACAACTTTCGAATTACTACGGCGACGGTAGTTTTCATAACTTACTAGTAAAACGTATAACTATGCAAACTTTGAACAACTTACTCTTCAAAACCTTTGATATAATAACTAAGCTGAATAAGGAAAATGTTTATTCGTGCTGAAAATGCAGTCATTAGGGAGTAATGTTCGGGAATTTTCCACGCTCAGAAAACTAACTCATAGAAAAATGCGCTCGCAGTCAAACAGTTGCCGAGCTTATTACAGACCTCCGATCGTTTTATTTTTCTATTCAATAGCAAACAGCATTTTCCTGCTGTATTTCCTTTTTTGCCGATATTACAAAGTAAAGAAAATCGACTCCAACAACTACAGGAGATATTATTCAGAATATACATTTACAAAGCTCCTTGACTCAATACTCTATTGATCTTGTTTATATACGAGTTGTTTTATTAATATTGAACTATATAGAAATGTATTAAACTAAGGCACTACAGAAATCTTTTCTTTTCTTAACGCCCTTTTGACCTTTTAAATGTATTAAATCCTCATCTTATTTTTTTAAGTAATTACTTAACATTTCTTGCCCACGATAGATTAAAGAACTCTAAATTTAATCCAAAAAAGTTTCTCTGAAACAATTTTTAGTATGCCACGAGTATACTAGTGCTTCTTGTGTTTCAAATTTTGATTTGCTTTGCCTTAATCACCAAGCTTTAGGGTTTAAATTTAACTGGCATCGTAAGATTCTGACGCTTTTTCGACAGAATTTTCATCAGTAAAACTTTCAAAACAAAATTGATTATTAAACCAAAGTTCACGAGCAACATTTTCTTATTATTTTTTACGCAGTAAAGTCCCTTTATTAAGAAAACATTTTTTAATT